ACATAAGTTTACTATATAGGAGCTTACTAAAATGTGGTATTATAATAAAGGCATTGATGAGATTCTGGGAAGTTACAAGGCTTTTTGGAAAGGAGTTAAGATATAAAGCAAATCTTGAGGCACGATAACAAGTTATATTAAGAAGGGTAGGGAAGTTGGACAATCTGTTTAGAAAGAAAAGCATGTGCAAAACCAGCAGATGTGAAAAAGATTGGGTTCTTTGGTGGGCAAAAAGCCTATGTGAATTATAAAGAGTATCTCTTCTGGAGCATCAAAGTAAAAGATTCTAGAAAAGGAGCCAAGAGGAGTCAGGTTAAGGAAGATCTATAATGCCATGGTAAGTAGAAGACATGAACAGGAAATTCCAAAGAGGAACTCAAGAAGACAAAGGAAACTTTTATAATAAAATCAGAAAGCCACAATGTAGAGCATCCTCAGCATATTCAAACTGAGAGAACTAAAGAAAAATCTAAGCCTCAAATTTCAATATTGAAGGATTCTATAGGCAAAGTTAGAATGATGCAGAGAACATCAAAAGAGAAGATGGAAAGAATACATCGAGTCACTGCACCAGAAAGAACTGGTTGACATCCAAAGATTTCAAGATGTAGCCTATGATCAAGAACCTATGATATTCATGAAGTCCAAGTTGCATGGAAGGCATTAGTTAAAAACTAGGCTGTACAGCATGGGTTAGGCAACATCAGTGAGGAAGATGAGGGGCAACAGTGAAAGGTGAAGTCCCTACGTTTCTGCCTTGGCAGTTGGTGAGAAGTTGGTGCTATCCAGAGAGGGTCCTGTATAACTGCATGCGTTTGAAGAAACGAGCTCCATCCCACCAACTTGGCACCAAAAACCTCTTTGGACGTAAGTGTGCAGTTACTGGTACCCCTGGTAGTGTAGTGTTTGTGTGGGGCTGTGATCCACAAGGTCAGTGGTTTCATACCACCGGTTTCATACCACCGGCTGCTCTGTGGGAGAAAGAGGTGACTTTCTACTCTCATACGCAGTTATAATCTCGGGAACCCACAGGGAGGCACTATGAGAGTATCGGCTCGATGGTTGTTTGTTTGCTTTTCCATTCATTCAAAATACCTTCTGTGATGGAATTAGTAATGGAAGCACTGGAAGCACTCATTCATCTATGGCAAGAAATCTGGAAAACAACTACATGGCCAAGTGACTGGAAGAGATCAATATTTGTGCCTATTTCAAAGAAAGGTGGCCCAACTAACAGCAGAATTTATCAAACAATGTCATGAATATCCCATGCAAGTACTATTTTGATGAAGATAATGTAAAATGGCTGTGGCAATATAGCTATAGGAAGCTACTAGAAATTCATAGGTCAGAATAGGACATGCAAAGGAGTATTATTGATTGCTCACATGGATGAAAGAAGTCCAAACTCCATTGACAGCATTAGTTACAAATGCACTTTCCCAGCAGGGGGTATCAATATTGGCTGAAAGCAGGGAAAACCAGAAAGATATAGGTTGTAATGCTATGTACGGCGTTGTGTTACATTAGTCTACTTAAAATGTCTCCTTCAGCATTTTTTGTAAGTGGCAGCAAATTATCTGGATTATGGAGAGGATATACCAAGTTCATTAGCATGATTTTAATTCCTCTGTAAAAATAAATTTTATATTATGAAATTATACTCCTTTGTCTGTTTCAGTATTTATTTTTGCTTTTGCCTAGGTCGTTTTTATCATCGGGGGCTATTGTTTCTTCTTATGACAAAGAGAACACCCTATTACATTCTGAACCTTTAAGCGTTCAGGTAGGATTTCAATTTCAATTTTTGTTTTTCTTACATATTCTTATTGGGGAGTTTTAAAAACCGAGGTGAATATTTTGTACTTCCATTATTATTTTATACATCCACTGGTTCGTATAAAGTATTTTACTTCATGGTAACCATGTCTAAACTCTCAAAGTGTAATCAAGGGATGTAGATGGAAAACTGAATTTCCACTTTGAATAAATTAGTATTTCTTTTACCTTTCACAAATTCATGAGATAATTGCTAACTACATTACTGTGCTGAGGTAGCTAAATTAATAAATATAAATGGTATATTTGGGAATGTTCATTTAAAAAAAAAAGTAATTCTTTCCCTACCCTTTTCTGTTGTTCTTTAGATGGATTGCAATTATCAGGGATATGCTGCAGGATTTCCAACTTCCAGGGTGACACTCAGCACTTGTTCAGGACTCAGGTTGTAGCCTATTTAAGGATATTCAGTTTGCCAAGATTAGGTCCTCCTTATCTCTGAGTTCATCCTCCACATGTTTTCTGATTTTATGGTCATCTTTGTTATTTCAATTCAATAACAGTCTGAACTGGAATTAACCAAAAAATAGTCTTAGTCTCCTTGGCAACTGATGTTCCTGGTGGAAGACTGTTTGTTGATACGGACAGAATTTCACAGTTCAGTGCTTAGGGTGTGTCGGTTGATCTCTCCGTACTGCTTTAATTTTCCTAAATCCTTTGCACTTCTGTCTGATGTCTTCATTTTGCTGGATGATTAGCATGTGCTGATTGCTTGAGTCTGATTGACCCAGACTTTACACTCAGTCTTTTAGGGCCACGTGAATCAATGAGAGAATAAATGGACCTAAGGAGTTTCACAGAAAATCCATATTCTAGTTTTAAGTACGCAGAACCACTCCAGTAACCTGCTTTCTTTAAGGCAAGTAAGGGATTGCTCGTAAAATATCTATTAGCTATGGTACCAAAGACATCTTTTGGTGTAGTATCCAATTCTGGGATATGATTTCAAAGGGTAGAGAGAGGAAGTAACAACATGAAAGAACCTCTGAAAATGAAATGAAATGAAATGAAAAAAGGTAGACACGCTTTCTCATTATAATCCTAGATTATGGTTATGGTAGAATAACTTGAATTTTGTTTTGATTATTTTAACCCTTAGAGGAATATTGCAGTTTACAAACATCTCATATGGAATTGAACCATTGGAGGCCTTATCAGGATTTGTGCATAAGATCTATGAAGAAAAAAGCGATATTAATATTCCTCTATTAGGAGACAGTGACATTTATTCTTGGTCTATTGATTCACAGTATCAAGCCAGGAAAAGTTCAAAAGTAAGTACTGACTCTGATTTTAGCTTAACCACATTACACATTACAAATTATAATTTTCTGTAAAGGAAAATTACAGCAAAGCTTAATTGGTAACCTTTTCATACTAAAATTATGTTGCTTTTCTTAAGTGCCCTGGCTGAATTCTTAGATGGCTATCAAGTAAATTTAAGTTATTTCTTAAGATATTTGGAAATTCTTACCAAAAAGGGCACTTATAAACTAAAATCATTTAAATAGCTCCAGTTAGAACTTATATTTTATATTTGAAAACAGCTTAGTAGATAATTAGTAGGAACATCTTTCTCTGCTTATTTCTGAATATAATTTTAAATAGAAGGCAATTTTTTGGAAAGTCTCAGGATTCATGTTGTGTTTTACCAGAGCACCGGTGTTTCCAAGTTATGGCAGCGATATCTTGAAATGCACATTATCGTGGATAAAGATCTGGTTGGTCCTATTTTATGCAGTTATTTTTAAATGCTTTAATATTTGTAACTTTATTTTAAATATATAATGAAGAATTACAGCTATTTAGATAAACATTTATTTTATAATTTGAATTGATAATTAATTAATGCACCTTCAAAATTTATAAGTAACACGTATGCATTGTATCTGATAGTTTTTGTAAAGTGGATTTAACTATCAATCTCACTAAAAAGGTAAATTATGAAACAAATATTCTACTTCTTTCAATCAAAGGGAAAATGTTAATTTCTCTTTTGTTCTCACTTTCAAGTAAATTAAACAATGGAAAATCAAATGAACGAAATTTTCATTTTGAGAAGTCATAAATAAAATTAACTTCTTGCATGTATGTAGGCATTAAAATGATACAATGTATGTTTTAGTCTGATTCCTGGTGGCTACGTTGGTTAAATGTTGGACTAACTATAAAATGGCTGGTTGAACCCATTGACCAGGTGCTCTGTGGGAGTGAGACAAGAAGTCTAATTCTATAAAGATTCACACCCTTGGAAATCCTAGGGAGCAGTTATGCTATGAGTAGGAGTCTGCTGTATAGTGGGGTACTTTTGTTCTTGTTCTTTTCATTTGGGGGCCTGGGGCTACTACGGAGTTAGGAGATTCTAAACCCAGCTACATTTGTCCCAAGTTGATAAAATCTCAAGGTGTACTGATCAAAGCAAACAATATTTCTTGCTGGAAGAATGTACCTTCAACCAGGGTACCTTTAAATAATTCAGGATTCCCAAAGATTCCCAGTTATAGCTATTCAAAGTCCATGAGGGAAAAAAGCCACCTTGAATAAGAGTCATCAAAATAAAACACAATATGTTTGCAACCTAGAAACTTTTAATCACTCAGGTTCTCTGGGTTACAATTTTTATGGGAGCGGATTAACAGAACTTTTGCCTAAGGAGATGCTACATTTTAAAATTAGTAATGGAGTATTTTAACTCATATTTACTCAGGGCCCTTTCCTGTGAGATTAGGTTCAGCCAAAAATGAAGCCCATGTCTGACTAGGAAGTTGGGGCTCTTTTAAAAATAACAAAGTCAACACAACCCTAAAAATACAAAACAGAATACAGAAGCAATTTTAAAATTAGCCAACAAAGACAAAGAGGAAAAAATATATACTAAACATATGGTTAGTCCGAGTAGATTAGAGAAGCAAATTCATAAACACACATGTGTTTATAAGAAAGAGCTTTATATGCAAGAGCAGTTGAATATTGAGAAAATATCCCAGCCCAGTCTAGGTCAAGTGCCTAAATCTGATATTAGCCCATCTGTGCATTATCGGTCTATAAATTCTTCTTCAGACTCATGCAACACATGCAATGATGCTAAATGCAGGAAGATCACAGGCCAGTGGGTGCAAAGCCTTGTGGGTCCAGTAGTGGTGGAAGCATCTCAGCGCTGGCATGGGTCTCCATGTGACTCCTCAGCTCCAGGGCTCTGGCTTCATCAGCCTCTCTCCATGTGGCTTGTCAACAGCAATGTCTCCCAGGGAGTGAGCATGTGTCCCACTTCCAGTGAGCTATTTATCTCCTTAGCGCCTCCAAATGAGGTCATCAAGCTGTGACCTGATTGACAGACTGAACTTCACCCCTTCACTCTCAACTCTCAAATTGACAACAGATTGCATAACTGCTACAATATCTATCACATAAAATGTAGAGTAAATTAAAAACTTAAGTGAAGATAAAATATTTTAACACAAATATATAATTACATTAAATGAAGAGGTATGAAGCACTACAGTTAAGAACAAAAGATAAAGCCAAATTAAAAACAATGAATTCTAACCAGTCTGTTTATCTACCTATTCTGTTCATAACTGATATGTCGAAAATATGTTGATAACTAAAAGAATGGAGAATATGCAAAATAAAAATTTTCCCCCAACAATTCTCATTGTTGTTTTGGTCTCTCTAATGGCTGCAAAAGTGGGCTCAAATCTAACAAGAGGATGATGGCGGGCAAGGCAGTGTTTTCGTCTATTGTACCTATGGTGGCTATGAGTTAAACTCAAGGGCCCCTGTCAACAATGGCTAAGAAAGAAATCTCTCTTTGAGGAAGTGCAGCAGAATACCCCTTAACAGCAAGCATGGCCAGAATTCATCTCAACTTCTTTTGGACATTTTATCCCAAGGGATTAGTCCCTGGACAGGGGCATCATGCTTAGTAGAGGGTCAATGAAATGAGTAAACCCCTAGAGGAGATCACTTGACACAGTGGCCATAATATTGGGCACAAACAAAGCAACAATTTAAAAATGGAGCAAGATCTTTCAGTATTTTCTCTTTTCTTGTTGTACAGAGGCTCACTATGAGTTAGAATCAACTGATTAGCACCTAACAACAATGACTAATGTTCTCTAGCATTTTCTTATGTATTTGTTAATTATATGAATGCTTTCTTTAGGCAAGTGTGTGTTCTGGCCTCTTCTGATTTGTAAAATTTGATTATTTGTCTTTTTATTGTTGAGGTGTTGAAACTTTTTATAATTTTAAAGATTACCAAATTCTTTCCTAGACTATACATTCTCTGTGTTCTTTTGACGTATACACAGTAAAGATGGGCTCAAATTTAACAAGTATGAGCATGATGCCAGGCCAGGCGGTGTTTTCTTCTATTGTACATAGGACAGCTGACCAATGTATAACCACTATACTATCAGAGCTCTTTAAAAGATGTTGAAATCTTTTGCCCACGTTTATATTAACTTCCTTATATTGTTATACAGGATTTATATATCTTTATTCAATCTCTCTTTGTTAGCTGTATATATTGAAAATATCTTCTCATATGATTTGTCATGTAAAACTTACAGTATTTCAGCAATAAATACAGGATTCACTAGACTCCTTTTGTATGTACCTTTTGTGGTGTTTGGATTTCATATCCACTTGATAGTCCCTGTAAGGCATGAGAGTAGTTGTGGAGTGCAGCCTCTCAATCAGGCCTTTTGATACCTCCTAAGGGGTAGGGCATTTGCATATGACAGAAACTGAGAACGCCTCCTTCTTTTGTTCCTCCTCACCTTGCTCCTTGCTTGGGTTTTGCATCTGGCTTCATGGGCATGAGGTCCAAGTGGACTGCCACCCCTGGGAGCTCTCAGCAGCACGCCATGTTCCTGAGGGCCTTGCAAGCCTGCACTCATTGGCCTGTCATCTCCCACATTCTTATTTCACATTCCTACTTCATCCACCAGTTGAAAGGATAAAATTCCTTCATGAGTATAAGTCAGTAATGCCCTATGATGGAAGGAGAATTGAGCCAATCCTCGGGTATCAAGGAATAGACTTTATTGGGGAGCACAGCTGCCAGGCTACCTCGAAGAGAGGAAGAGAATAGCCCCAAGACAAAGGAATCATGGACAAATATACCCTTGGGGGTGGGAACTTGTGACTGGGGCTGTGTATCCCACCCCCACCCCTGCCACCGGCATTGGCAAGTTGAATAAAGGGAGGTGAAGTGGCCTCTGACATGTATGAGGGGCTTTGGGCTCACATGGGAAGTTGTGGGGGGTGGAGACAGGTTGTGAGCAAAACACGTGGAATGGAAACGTTTGGATTGGCCGGGCGCTGTTTCACACTCAGCTGGACCCATCATCCCTGCCATTTAGTACTGGGGAATGGGGCTAAGGTCTCATCTTCTGTAACTACTTCCTGCTGAGCAGGGGTGGTGAGAGGTTTACAGTTGTCCTGTCTAGGCATGGTCCAGTGAGCGCTTTAGGGGTTAGAATCCTGCTGTATACCTCTCTGCAGAGGTTTGATCGGTGAAGGCACATCTTTGTCCCTGCAAACATCTTGAAAAGAGTGAAACAGACAAGGCCCGGAGAACAGAATTATACATAATAAACTAAGAGGTACCAGGAGTGACAGAAGCCACGGGGCCCAAGATTTCCAAGAGTCAAAAATAATTTCCCTTGCAGATCCCACATCCCCAAACTCCTTTAATTAATCGGTGTTAGATTCATTTCTTTAGTTGTCTTTCCCTTTGGGTAACTACGTCTGATTGTAACATTTTTCTCCTAAACAATTACAGGTTCCCTTTTCTCTGAGGTGAGCAAATCCAGGACTCACCTATTTTGTAGTGCCAGCTGCAGTAGGGAATTAATTTGGGTTTGTAGTGTTTAAAGAGCGTCACCTATTTCCTCCATATCAATGCTAAAGTCTCTTGATAGTTGGTAGTAAAATGTGTAACAATTTCATTTCCTCACACTCCAGTTTCCAGAACTTCCAAGATGCTAGTTTCTATGAGTGTAGAGGCTACAGCTACTCTCTTGCAGCATCTATAGAACTCAGATTTGTATTTTGTATGGCGTAGTCCATGTCTCATTCATCTAGGAAGTTATATCTGGAGTAATAAAAATTGGGATGCACAGCCCTGTCTAGTCCCCCCATAGACAAATGTTACATTGGAAAAACACTCTAGGTGAGGCACATTGAGCCTCAGTTTTTTGACAAAAGAGAGTTTGACTACAGGAATCAGTAGAGTAACTGCTTATGGACTGTAACTCATCAGAGGACAGGAGGCAGACAGCACCCTGATGGGAACTGAGAAGTACTTCAGTGGCCACTGGTCCAATGGTAGGGGATGCCTTAATTGTTTTGGTTATATTGGGCATTACCCATGAAGATGGAATTGGAGATGCTAGATATCTTCTCTGTCAGAGAGAGAGAGAGAGAGGCATAACCACAACACGTGTGGTGTGCAGTGTCTAGCTAAGAAGTTGGTGAATGGTAATAAGGAGAGATGAAATTGATGACTGGGAATCAGCTTGTGCTATTTTCCTGGGTCTGGCTCAGTCTATTGGTTTGTACGGAGCCCAGATTTTAATAAGCTTCCCGAGTCCTTCAATGCCAGTCTGGGTCGTTTGTTTAAAGCAGTGGTTCTCAACCTTCCTAATGCCACGACCCTTTAATACAGTTCCTCATGTTGTGGTGACCCCCAACCATAACATTATTTTTGTTG